GTAGGTTTTGACATTTTGCAATTGGAATGACTGGAACAGTTAGATTGAAATTATACCAAAAATATATGTGAACGGAGGAATTTATTGCCGCCGTTCAAGATCGCTAATAAAAATTTAAAATAATGAAAATCAAAGAAAATGCGAAATTTAAATATATATTATGAAACGTTTTGTAATTTGATGCATAATAGAATTAATTTTCTATTACAAATGATTAAAAACATTTATTAATTTAGAACTAACAGGCTTAATTCACCTTATTAAGTATTGAAATATCGAAAGTCAGTTGTTTTAATATACCATAAAATCATAAAAAAGGAATTAAGTAGTTTCGCCATATATTAAAAGTCCAATATATAATAATTTGTAATCGTAATAAATGTTGGGTGTTTTAATTTAAATGCCCAAAAAATTTTATTTTGCTCAATCTGGCCATAATGGAAAATGTTACAAAAAACGCTTATTTTGAGGCGCTCTCACACTGGAATAAGTGGGATGCCCAACTTCCCTGAAGGTTGACGCTCCTGTGAAGCAAACCATTTTGTTATTAAATTGTACAAACTGAAAAATGAGGTAGAGAAATACTATATCATGCAAATTATAGTATTTCAACATATATTTTGAGAGTTTTGAATTTTGTTAGAAATAAACAAGATAATTTAAAAATGGTTCATGTCTGCAACGCAGCCTCCCTACCAGGCAAAAACCCCTTGTATAAATATAAATTTTATGCACTATACCTATTCACATAATATGTGGGTACACGTAAATTTATTTAATTGTGTATGGGAACTTATATGTATATACAAAATAGTGAAAATAAAATAATGTTTCTTACATGATTACATGACATTAATTCGAAAATGACGATTGCAAATAATTCTCTATGTAGATTATTAAATGTAAATAATTTAAAAACCATACAAGTGTAAATATGACTTTATGTATGTACATATATAAAGATACGAGTACACTGTAGCACTATAATATTTTTAATGTTCATGTGAAGTGGGGTATTCGTTATTTCTCAAATTAATTTTTTTTTAATACGCCTTCCCTGAAATTTCCGTCTTTGTCCTAAAGAGAAGGATTCAATGGAAATAAGCTCTTTATTTTCATTTATTTATCATTCTGACCTTTTTTGTAGAGTGAAAAATAGTGTACTAGAATATAATTTTTCCAAGGTTGTAGGTTTACTTCTTTAATTCAAAATATTAAAGATCCCATGCTATATACACATGATTTACGGTTTAAATTGAGAATAAAGTGCTTGCTTACGCTAGATCCTTATATTTAGAGCTAAAAATGAAATTTCAGGCGGCGCTTGCCGAAACACAGTCAACAAGGGAAGTAATGGACACCTTGTTAAGAAGGGATGCACCAGTTTTACCATATACGTCTCATCATTTCCTACTGACTTTATATTTATACTTAAACTAATTTTCTACATATTTACTATGTGTAACATATTAAGTTTCGTTGTCGGCTATGATGTATTTATTTTTCTTTACTTATTAACAAATTGCAATTCTTCCGTCAAGTGGCTCCCAACAAAAACCGAAATTACCAGAATGGGTATATTTTTATAATAGATTTATGCACATTTTACATATATATCTATACGTATTTATGTATGTACTAATATGAAAATGTTGTACAATATTTTGAGCATTTGCAAAAAGTATTACATAAACTGAATTGAATACTAATTGTACGAATACATAGAATAAATTAAAGCAACAGCACTTTACTAACGTTAATCCGTTCCCACGACAGTCGGGTCTACGAAAACCGGAACGGATCCGGATTTTTATCCGGCCAAGGACTGTCAACTCGGCAGAATTCTGCCGTTACAACAACAACAACAACTAACGTTAATGAAAGCCCACTTTATTATACACTCTTGACAGTTCGGAATTACAATTTGCCAGCGCAAAATTGTTTTAAAAATTTGCGACATAAAGATTCCTCTGCTAACTAGCTTTAATTAACTCGTTGTTCCGCGATCGGCTAGTGCTCTTACAATGTGATTGATGTTTTGGTTATCCACATAAACAACTTAAGGAATGATTCTTGAGTATCTAAGCCTTTATCACAGGCAAAAAAAAACAATTCAAAGCTTATTATTCTACTAAGTTCAGACCAACGTAATACCAGTATGACTCCGCTATACCAAGGTTTCTTCGCTTAAACAGGGGCATCCATAATTTTATCATAACTGATGTTTGATCACGGCGAAGATTTAATGTGAAATTATGGCATAATTACAAGTATTTCACAATGCAAGTTTCTTAAGCTCAACAACTTTTCTGCCTCATTTTAATGAGTAAAGTTTTATTTTTTTTTACATTTTTTCTTAATTTAGTCCATAAAATCTAAAATCGATTGGAGCAAAATTGACGAAATTATGAACAATACCAGCCTCGAAATCCAACGCCAAACAACTTTTTCCAACAGGTGCTACTTCGGACTGAGTATGCAATTGAAGAGTAAAATCCTCTCTCGATAAATAAAGACCACACTGTATAAGTCACTCATTATTCTCGTCCTACTACATGGTCAGGGGCATAGACGATGAAAACGTCTGATGAGTCGATGTTACGACTTTTCAAGAGAAAGGTTTTGTGGAAGATTAGATATAGGATTATCTTTACATAAACAATTAGGATGACGACACGAGTTGAACACCGAGTCACTGTCTGTCCGTCCGTCGGGATACCTTTAATCAATGGGGATAAGTTTGAATATAGGCTTAGTCGGACTGCTTCTCCGCCCAAAAACGTCATTAAACTAAAACGAATAAAGTTCTATAACTAATTACAAATATATTGAACTGTAATTTATCATAGGGGAACGACGTAGCCCATAGAGCAATAGAGGTTGAACGAAAATGTCGGTCAAACTGTGAGATATATAACTGAAGTTTATCGGTGTGTCAAAAATGGGTGGAGCTCCTTAGCCCCCATATAACTAATGTAAAAGTGGTCGAACTTCCGGGTGACTCTATATCGCATATATCGGTCAAAATGTGAGTTAATTTAATGAAAATAAGAGAGCGTGCGTAATTCATAACAACACATCCTTTGCCCAAAATGAAAACCTTGGGTGAAAACTTGACCTAGCCCCCAAATGACGTGGATGAGTTTACTCCATATGATCGGTGTTTGTATGTAAGGTACCTTAATGAAACCCTGAGAGCATTTTATTAGTCTGTGGTATGTTAATTGTATGTAGTATTGGCAAAAATAGGTAAAAACGAGCAATTCAACCGCAACTGCCATGTACAACTTAAATTCAATTTCGTTATTACAACCAATTTTATGTCGAATATGTCACAATGTTAGTATTATTTATATATAAAATTCAAAATACGTTGTGGAGTATATCTGAGCAATGCCAAAATTAATGCAATCTGCCCTCAAAATACCATATTAAATGATTTATTTCTTTACATCTGTTAAATCTTTCAGGTTGGTCCAAATGTGTGATATTTTAGTTTCGTTAACATAGTAATACTATAATTGTAATGGGCAAGCTTTCTTAAAGATAAAATGGTGTAACGCTGAATTAGAATGGAATAGGTTTTGAAATAAGCAGACACTTCAAATCTCTAAAATAGTGAATTCCGATCTTTTGACTGATTTTTCCACATTAACTCAACATATTAAATTGAGTTTCTACAATCCAATTAATCACGTATCACACATATCTCATTTGAAGATGTTTTTAATATAAACTAATGCGAACTAAATTAAAGCAATAAAACTAATTCTAAGTTTATGTCCTTTAATATAAGTTTCAATCTTTCGCAACATTTTTATACTCTTGCAACCCGTTGCTTCAGAGTATAATAATTATTGTGTTCACCTAACGGTTGTACGTATCCCCTAAAACTAAGCGAGATATATATAAGGTTATTTATACATGTTTATAAATGATCAGGATGACGAGAACAGTTGAAATCCGGTTGAATATCTGTCTGTCCGTCCGGTTATGCTGTAACTTCAGTAAAAATTTAAATATCTTTCTGAATCTCCGAGTTCCTTTGTACAAAAAAAAATTACGTGTTCGTAGATAAGCGTAATGGGACCACTGCCTTTGTTTTACGAACAGATCTTCTTTGTACCTAAAATAGATACAATTGGATTTTCTAGGATTTTCGAACATCAGGCTGACTTTGCTCCATCTGATTCTTGATTGTATGGTTTAATGAAACCCAGGGTAATTTTTTTATTATTTGGCATGACAATAGTTAATACGTATATAAAGTCGTGTCGATACTACCCAACTCCCATATTACATATAATAGTCTTCTTTGTTCTAAGAAATCCTATGCCGAATTTGTCGGCCAGTGTATGAGTTATATTGAGTATATGCATGTATGTACAAAATTGCGTAGACTCCGATTCTTTGGTTGACGTTTTACATCTTAAAGTATTTCCCTGGCCTTGATTCTTGCAAACTGCGATAGTATAAAATGTTCGGTTGCATCCGAACATAGCACTTTCTTATTTGTTAGATACAAGGATTTGCTAACACCTTAAAAAAATTCCCGGGCTTTGATCCCTGCAACTTGCAAGAGTATAAAATGTTCGGTTACATCCGATATTTCAAAAATATACGTAAACTGATTTTGTGTTAAAAATTTAGGTTCCTAATTTCTTTTGTGTGTGTCTTTTTTTTTGTTCTGATTACTTTAGAAAATGAGAAAAGATCTATGTTTCTGAATATACGATTGTGTTTATATATAAGAAAGGATAGGTTTGTCTTGGTCACTTTACATATGAATGCAATTTCAACGTTCTCAAGTCATGAATTTAATAGCAGCGAGTATGTAGATAGCTTATTGGGTGTTATAATCTCTTCCTTTACTATCTATATTGAATTACACCGGTTGTTTGATAGATTCCTGACTATCTAAGTTTTGACGAAACGAAGGCCTCTACAATATTTAAGTAAGAGGTTCGAGTATCTTGTTTTTTATATTTGTTCATTTATCGCTAGTGGTAACAGTGCGGTTCATGCTGCTGTTGTGAATGTGCATGCAGCAGCGAATGTGAATGGGTATGTGGGTGATGTTGCAAAACCGTTTGCATTTGATGCTGCGGCTGTTTGTGGGACTGCATTTGTTGGTGACGGTGCTGATGTGCCGCATGAGCGGTTAGATATTGCTGATGTTGATGCAAATGCTGCAATTGTTGATATTGGTGGTGGTGACCGTGCACATGATGGCTGTAATGAGGATGTGAATAGTGATGGTGTTGTTGATGCTGCATCACTCTTTGTATGCCTTGTTGTTGTTGCTGTTGAACAGTTAGCATTAGTGTCGGTGGTGGTGTTGCCAAAATGGTTTCTGCCGATGCTCTTGTACCTGAGCCGATAGTTTCGTTCTCATTGAAATCGTTCATTGTGTTATTTGTCGCTTCTACTATTGCTCCTGTAGCACTGGCCTGTAATCCCCTGCCGGTGTTGGATCCACTGAACGTGCTATGGCTGCTGCTTGCATTGCTGCCGACAGGTGAAGGTGTGCCTATGCTGACAAAGCCACCACTGTCACCGCTTACTGCATTAGCGCTCGCGTTTATAGCTGCAGAAGCAACAGCTGCCGCGGCTGCCGCAGCAGCCACGGACGTCGCCGCGGCTGCGTTTGCGACAACAGCTGCTGCGGCAGCCGCAGCAGAAACACTAATGTCTGGGCGAGGCGAACCGGTTACAGAACCAATTGACGACTGACCTGTTCCAATGTTAGCTACTGATGCGGTTGATGACGGAGTTAGTAACAGTGTAGATCACTGGAGACGGGGCCAGTAATTAGTGCTAGTTAAATCGCTAGCACTTTGAGAGGGTATTTGCACGGGTACAGACACACCTGCCGAAATGACACCTGGAAATGTATGGTTATCTGAAATATAAATGAGCACATATAGTATTCAATTTTTAATTGATAAATTTTATCTTAGTAAATAATTTAAAATATATGGTGTGGAATAATATTTGGTAAAGCAGAGTGGTGCTCGATATGTGGACTTCGGAAATCGGAAGACGTTTAAATCTAACTAGGTACAATTATTAATGTGGTTTACTTTTAGCAAACACCTTTAGCATTTGTTCATAATTAGGTTATTAACATCGAATATTTCTACCCGTACCGCCAGATGCATTTGCTGCACTGCCTCCATATACCGATGTATGTTGTGGTGGTGGCTGTTGATGGGCCGCAGCAGGATTGCAAGATGGTCGTGTGTGAGCTGCATAGGGCACAGAACCCAACGTAAGTGGATCGTGAAACATATATGGATAGCCATCGCGTTGCTGCAAACAAGTTGACGTCATTGAGCTCAAGGACGAGGTCATAGAGCTGAAATATAGAAAATTATATCTGTAAAACATTGTAAAACAAGCCAAAACTGCATCAATATTTCTTAAGATACTCTAATTTTAGTGCAATGTGTGGTAAGCACTTCAATATAGATAACCTACTTGTAGTTCTCTGCCATTGTAGCCATAGGCTGTGGTATCGAAGAATACATCGTGTTGAAACCAGTGTTCAGGGGAAGGCGAGTCGCAACGGATTGTAAAGGAGGACTCACTGAGCTGCCATGACCACCAACCACAACAGTTGTCACTGCTGCTGCGGCTACTGAATCACCCAATGCCGAAATGGCTGAACCACCATCACTTGTTCCTGGTATTGACACCGCTGCTGAAGCGCTTGTTCCACCTCCATTTGAACCTGCTGCGGCGCTACCATTGTTGCTAGCGGAATTGATGTCGGCAGCTGCACCACCGCCCACTCCGACGCTGCCAACTCCATTTATCCCAGATCCACTTTGATGGCTGACCACGGCGGCGGCGGAAATTGCAGCCGTATTGCCGGTGCTCGACCGACCACCAACAGAACCGCCATTATTGCTGATATGGTCCGCTGAGCGCCGTTGAGTTCGTAGTTTTTCTTCGCGTCTCCATTTTGCCCGTCGGTTTGAAAACCATACCTATTGTGGAAGGATTATGATAAATTAAACTTGATGTGTTTATTGTTTAAAAGGATTTCAATCATAAAAATAAATAGCAATTATAACAAATAATTAAAAATCAATAATAATAAATACTTTGATGGAAGTAATAATAATATCGAAATAAACAAATGTAATATACCGGGTGTAAAATCACTTAAATAAAATAATCTACACTACTACTGGATATAGATGGTACCTAGTTCTAAAATCGTTTCGTTTTTCCTCGATATACATTGTCGATTTAACGTCAATAAATTCGTCTCATGCTCTAGGGACTTTCTTTTTCTGTGCACATTGGGAAAATTGTATAATATCTATAGCTTTTTTACATATACTCTCGCAACATGCTGGAACAAGTATTTTGTTCACTTAAGGGTTGTTAGAACTAATCGAGATAAATTAAATTCCGGATAAAAAAGATCTGTACTTTCAGGTCATAAAAATGATTGGCTGCAGAAATATATGCGATTTAAAAAAAATAATGTAAAAAAATATTGATTTTTTTAAAACGTTTGTACCTTAAATTTGATTCATTGATTTTACTTATATTAATTTTTTATTTAAGCCTATCAGAATTACCCTAAATTTAATTTCCTACAACTTTTCCTTTGGAAACTTTTGTATTAAAAATATAAGAAAAACGTAAAAAATCAAAAATTAAAAATTAAAATTAAGGACTAAAATTTTCAGGATATTTTTTCAACACAGAAAACAAAATTTTCATGTATCCGAAATGAAATTAAAATGCTCTATAGATATATATATAACGAGGCGAATCAACATCCAGGGATTATTTATTCTAACCAACACGGGCCTTTGGCCCAGAAAAGGGTAAAATCGGGTTAAAACTCCCTTTAACCCCTGAATAAATCACACGAAGGTTTTCGAACTTCTTTTTGACTTTAGACTGTATATCAGTCAATGTAAGTTTTTTAAAGCAACACAATGAGCATCTTTTTCTGAGAATAACACAGTCCTACAAAGAAGAATAAAGTCGAAACACCTGGAAAGTGAACGCGCGTCGAACGATTTGGAGAATAATTTTTTTTTTTTTAGGTTGGTCAGTCACATTTATGTCAAATTTCATGTCAAAATATTCATTAGTGCTTGAGATAAGTGTCGTTTTGTGAGCTGCTAAAAGTAAGTTTTTCGTTTTTTGCGATGTCGAAATTTGTTGAGCAAAGAATTTGCATTAAATTTTGTTTTCAATTTTGTTCATCAATTTTCTGCCGCGGACACGTTGAGGATGGTGCAGAAAGCCTTTGGTGATGAGCTATGTCTAAAAAAAATTTTTACAAGTGGTATAGTGACTTCCAAGCCGGCCGTGAACGTGTCGAAGACGCAGAGCGTCCAGGGCGACCATCCACTTCAATCGGTGAAGCTCACGTTCAACAAATCAAAGATTTGGTATTGGAAAACCATCGATTAACAATTAGAGACCTTGCTGACGAAGTTACCATATCGAAGTACTCAGCCAATACCATTTTGAAGGATGTTTTGGGCCTTAAGCGCGTCAAATCTCAACTGGTACCGAAAACATTGAATTTTTTGGTAAAAAGGCATCGTGTTGAAGTGTGTGAAACGATGCTTTCCGACTACAAGGGTGTCATGAAACGCTTTATAACTGGCGATGAGGCTTGGATCTATGCTTACGATCCCGAAACAACCGATCAATCGAGCGAATATCGTGCCAAAAAAACCGAGACCAAAAAAATCGCACCAAAGTCGCTCAAAAATCAAGGTCGTGTTGACTGTTTTCTTCAATTATCGTGGTGTTGTGCATTATGAATTCCTTCCAACCGGTCACACAGTCAACAAGGAACGTTTGAACGTATTTGAACGTTATACGTCGTTTGCGTAACGTTATCCGCCTAAAAAGGCCGGAATTGTGGAAAGACAATTCTTGGTTTTTACACCACGATAATGCACCATCCCATACTGCCCTCTTAATTCGTGATCATTTCGTCAAAAACTCAACCCATATCGTTCCGCAACCACCGTATTCACCTGATCTGGCGCCGTGCGACTTCTGGCATTTTCACCAAGCTCAAAAGACCACTCCGAGGACACCGTTTTTATACGATAGAGGAGATTCAAGCCGCAGCGAAGACGGAACTGAAGGCCATCCCGGAATTTGAGTACAACCAGTGTTTCGAAGATTAGAAAATCAGTTGGCATAAGGGCATTGCATCGGGATTACTTTGCAGGGGATGAAATTTATTTGGAAGATTATAATATTAATAGGATGACGAAATAAGTTGAAATCCGGATGATTGTCCGTCTGTCGGTCCGTGCAAGCTGTAACTTGAGTAAAAATTTAAATATCTTGATGAAGCTTGATATGCGTCATATATGTAAAGTGCCATAACTAACAATAAATTAAAATGTTAAGCTCCAATTTGCACAGGAAAACGCAGTGCTAAGGGGTTCCTGTGGGAAAAAAGTTTTGAAAAAGTGGACGTGGCCCCGTTCTCTATAATGTTTAATGTTCATATCTCCAAAACTACTTAAGATAAAACAAACAAATACGTCTAGAGCAAATATTATGAGATTTTCTACCGCGATAAATCTAACGTAAAAGCGAGATAAATCAAAAAATAATACGCCAGAGACATGAAATTTACCCGCAAGATGGGATGACAGGGCTTTAGTGGAGTCGTAGTCGGCTATGGGTGTGGCACCGCCTACTTTTAGGTGAAAACACATATCTCGAGAACCGCTGGACCGATTTTAGTGAAAATGTATGAAATCAGACTACAGCTACGCCTACTTCCCATGTAACCCAATTTTAAATGCCATTCGGTTCTTTCACTTTCCTGTGTAAAAATCAAGAAACAATCAATGTAACGGTGTAAAACTTTTAACTAATTATCAACCGATTTTTTACTTTAAGAACGGTTTAAGAGAGAAGAATATCAGATCCTTCGATTTTTTGATATATGATGTCTTAGTATACATAGCTTAAGAGATTTTCCTATTTTTGCACAATAACCTTAACTTTTGTTACTCTTTTTCTAACTTTTTGGATATTTTCACACATTATTTAATTTAATCAAAGAGTACGTTTAATACCGAGTTTAACAAATGTTTCTTTTAAAAAATCGGTAAAAAATTTACTAAGTTACTAAACTTTTTATAAAAAAGAAAACTTTACAAAAATTTGCAAATAACTTACATTACCAATAAATACTATATAATTTTTTGGTTATGTTTTTTACCCAATTTTGACGACTTTATAACTCTCTATTGTTCACCCGTGCTGTATAACAAGATTTTTAAAAAGTTTTATAGTGCGAGTTACTGGTTCGAGCTACAATTTATTTATGAAGTAGGTTTGCCCACCGATTTATTAGGTAAAATAAATATGTATAATATTTTTATTTATTTACTTATTTAAAAGAGAACTAATTATAAATAATTAATCCACTTGTAAGAATCAGCACTGTCTACCAGGGCCTTCGGCTCTTAATACTAAGATTATGGTGAAAAGAAGAGTAAGGTTATTTAGTTGTATGTGGTGTTTTATGTCTTTGATGTTACATAGTTTAAGAAATTTATTAATGGCACTGATGTTATCGCTATTTGTTGCTTTGAGAAGTTCGGAAGGTCTCTTATTCCCAAAGGTTGATTTCCTTAATAAACGCAGTGCAGGACATTCATCGATAAGGTGAATGACTGACTGATTGGGTGGGAGCGTTGCAATGGTGACAGCTTGGTTGATCGGTACCGTTAAGAATATGGCTGTGAGTTCTTGTAGTGTGGCCTATTCGAAGAATAGTGAACTTCTTGATGTTGTGGCATGAGCAGTCCGATGGGTAGATAGGTTTTACACCAGTTGGGTTTTGATCTCTGTAGTGATGTTTTTAGCTAGTTCAATCTCGGAGATGTATATTATGGCAGTATTTTTTTTATATGTTCTTTGATGTCTTTAGTAGTAAAGTGGGGAAAGAACACCAGCGGCTCTCTACTACCTTCTTTTGCATGTTTATCTGCTGTCTSATTGCCTTTTATACCAGCATGCCCTGGTACCCACATTATTTTTATGCTGCTTTCATGATGGAAGAGTTTGTCGCGTATATTCTGTATTAGCCATGAATTATTTGTTGAGTTTTGAAGTGCATCAATGATTGATTTACTACCGCTACATATTATATGTTTATCTCCTGTTGATTAGGCGAATAGAACCGCTTCGTAAATTGCTGCAGCTTCTGCTGTAAAAACCGAGCAATATGTTGGCAAAGCACCGACAGTAATAGCGACACCCTGATCGTTTGACACTGCAAACGTGATAGTAGTATCTGTTTTCGACCCG